AATTACATAAAGCTATTATATAAAACTATTACATAAAATTAATCTCAATATAATTAAATAATTTAATATATTAATTATTATTATATGTAATATATATATATCAATAGTCTTCTTATTCTTACAGTAAACTGAGTTATAATAAATGAATTGATTTTTAATGTGTAGTTTTTAATATTTTTTATTACTTACTCATAAAAGCATTTGCTAACCGTTTGAAAAATCTGTCAGCAAACTCTTTGTACGAAAATTTATCAGTATTTATTGAGCGTTTTGTGAAAAGCGTTACCTTAGCATTGCAGAATGTTTAGGAAACATTATATATAGCGTTTGATAAGCGTTCCAAAAGAGTTCAAACCTTTTGACATTATATAAGCATTCTTATAAAGTTTGAAAGTGTATAACCTCTCAGAAAATTCTCATTAAACGGTTATCAACGTTCTGTAAAGCTTCTTATTTTCGTCAGGGATGGCCAGGAATCGCGTTGACAATATTTTGACGCTCTTGTTTCGCGGGTTTGTTTCTCCTTATATTACATGAAGCACAATTACGCGGAAAACCGGAACGATATAGTGACAAATAGATATTTGTATTTATTTAAAAAAATTGATTTCTCTTAATTCACTGCAATTTTTATTAATATGCTTATTTTTTCAGTTTATCTATTGAATACAAACATTTTGATCAGTAACTATTGTTAAAAATTGATATTTTATAATTTTCCGTTACGCTTTTCTGCACAAAGTCATTCTGTCTTCGTTCAGTATTCAGTGAGAAACAAAGACAGAATGACTCTTGTGTCGACTTGTGTCGACTGTGTCTCCTAAAAGGAAAGCAGCCAATATATGCTCCATGTAATATAAGGTAATCAAAACAGACGGAACGGAACGCGCGGAAACACAGAAATCTAGTAAAGTCTAGTTACTTTTGACTTCCGCGTTTCCGCGTTTCCGTGTTTCCGCGCTTCATGTACTGGCACTCTAGGGATAGCGTTGTGTGCGGGATTGGCGGGACACTTGCTGACAGCCAATGGCTGTGGAGTGAAGAGACTTTTTTGTAGGGGAAGTGCGCGAAACAAACGCGTTTTTGTCCGTCGAAATTCTCTTCTCTATTTGAATCGAGTGTACAACTTGCAACGTTCACGATTTTTTGGGAATAAATGGGATGGTACCAGAGAGAAGCCTGAGAGCGGCCATGCCATTGTAGCACGAAGTAAGAATAAGGAGACTTAACTAGATAGTACATAGAGAAAAAAAGTGGTCAGTAAAAATGTTCCATGTAGGAAGAAGTTTGCTAAATAGAATAACTTGCAACATTTCGTCGCCATTTTAAGTCTGTTCTTTTTAGTTAAAGTTGCTGTGCAATATTCATAT